TACATACATATACACATACATACACGTCATGGTCGACTAGTCGGTTCTATAGACTCGAGCTGTCGCCGCAAGCATGACTATGCAACGCCTTGCCAGCTGCAGGCATCTGATGGTCGAGGGTGGGAGACGCCATGCTGATTGCATGGCATTCCCAAGCTTTCTGCACTACGGGTAGTTGGGAGGGTCCTCAAGAAGTTCAAGATCAGCAGCTTTCCGTTGCTGCAAAAAAATAAGCCTTCGCCAAGACCTAAAGCCACCGTCCACCAAGACTCCGACTCACCAATCCCTCTATTTCAGCACAGTGCCTACGACAACCAACACCCTAAACAAATCATCCCAAACCCTCAAACCCCAGAATATATAAGCAGCAAATTCTGAACCCTAGACAGCAATAAATCCTACACCCCGAATGCTAAACCCTCCTAAACCCGAACCCTGCAGCTGCAATCTCCACAGCCAGAAGCCTGAAGCAACAAGGAACACCCGGCTTCTACCAACGGTTCGCATACTTGTGACCCATATTGCGGTTTAGAGGGCCTACGAAGCAAATATCATTCAAGGCTAACGGTTTAAGGACTCAGGGAGGCTAGACTTGGTTTTGAGGTATCTGTAAAATGAAGATACATGCGCCCTGCATCTTCAAGTATACCCAGTAGCCAAGGCCAGCGACTCCTAGCCTCAACAACCACAGGCTTCTTAGGGGTCTACGGTTATGGTGTTTACAGGGCCTTTTGCAGGGTTATGGCTAAGGGTTTATAAAGTTTACCCATAGGCTCCATAGTAGTNNAGTTCCTTTTTGGGGTTACCCTATAGGATCCTAAATACAAACCACAAAAAGGAACTACTATGGAGCCTCTGGGTAGGGTTTAGGGTTGAGTCAGGTTTACGGTTCAGGGTGCTGGGCCGGGCCCTCCACCTCCTAAGCACGCCTTTTCAAAATCACGCTCACCAGATTTCGATGTACAACCCTACGCATTCTACAACCCTCAACTTGAAAAACCAAACCTCAAAGTTAAAGTGTAACTCCAAGTTAGTAACCAGTGTAGGTGAATTTTCTTGAGAGGCCCTCGTGTCTGCTGTCTCTGGATCTGCGGCTGTTTGCAAACGGCGGTGCACTCAACGGGGTTTTCGGGTTTAGGGTTGTATACGGGTTCTACATGTTGACAGCAGCGTTAGAAAAGCTCTGCGGACCATAACGACAGCAACGTTACTACTTTTCGAGGGTGCAGAAACGGTGGAGAGTCAGGGGCGGCGAGTGCTTGAGGGTTGTCAGAAGCTGACTCCTTTCTGGACGCTCTTCTTCCCTCTCTCCCATCTTGGCACGCTTGAACGGGGCAGAATCCACATCTTAGCATGCCTGAAGGGGGCAGGAATCTAAAAAAACAACTCCTACTTCTGACCACCATCAACCGGTCGGTGTGCCACAGCCGCAGGTTTAGCAGAGTCCGTGCTAGGAATCGATCTCTCCTCTTCCCGCCCATCAGGGCAAGGGCTGAAGAGGGCAGATGCATCGAGGGTCCAGATCGAGGAGCTGCTTCTAGGATAGCAACCCTAAACCCTAAGCCCTAAACCCGAAACCTAAACCCTAACCCCCCAAAACCCCCAAACTCCTAAACCCTAAACCCTAAACCCAAGCTTTTGGATGCTTTGGCAGTTTAGGGTTTAGGGTGTTAAAGGATGGCAACCCTCTGGGCCTCTGGTTTCAGGTTTATAGGTACTTCTTTCTACGGCTGCTATGCTTTTAAGTGCTAAGGCGAGGTTGTTGTGAGGATCCAGAAATTTCAGGTATACTAGTATAGTAGAAGTAAGTCAGGAACCCGAAGGACTAGTGACTAGTCTGAATAGCTATTATTCAGACTAAAGGCTTCAGAGCTTTCGGGCTCTATACAGATTATTGGGATCTTACAGGGTTCCGGCGTGGACTTAGACAGTCGGCCATGCTTTTGTGCAGCCGGTTGCAGGATTATCGCAACAAAAACTGTAGCACCAGATGCAACCCACTTTTGCGAAGTTTCTTGACTCCAGCATAAGGGTTAGCCGGTTAGCCTCTACAAGTACGCCGTGAATTGGGTTTTTAAAAACCCTCTTCTGTTTTTAAAAACCCTCTTTAGCCTCTACAAGCACGCCGTGAATTGCACATCTGGACCGCCGGATGCCTCAGATTTCGGAATCACCAGGCCGAACTCACTGCAGCAAAGGAACCCTAAACCCTAAACCCTAAACCCAGAGGGCCCCTGGAGCTCCGAGTGATTCGTTTCAGGATAGCGGCGCCTTCCTTTGGCAGATGTTCGTGGCGCCCGAGTGGTAGTTGCCAAACTATTAAAAGGACAGCTCTGAACGAGCCAGCCCTCTGACGCAGGTCTCCTTGCGGCAGCCTCCAACAGCCTCGTAAGTGTCTTTAAGCTAGGAGGTGCTTGAAATTGCCTAGGGCCTAAACTAATAAACGAGAATACATTCAAGAAGTTTGACTCAACGTCCTCCGGGCCGTAGGCCCCGAAGCTGCATCAGCCTGGAAACTCCTACACTTTGAAACCCAGAAGCCCTCAACAGGCCTTGAAACCCAAACAAATCCTAACTCCCTTTCGCTCTAAAGCGCGGCAGGCTTCAACAAAGGATTAGGCGGACTTTTGGGGATTATAGACCCTCTCAATAAGGCCCCTTTTTCAGAGAGCCATAAGTAGGGTTAAGAAGGGTCCCCTTTAAAGGGGTCTCCCTAATACTACCTAATAAAAAGGGGAATGCGGCCGCGTGAAGCCCTGAGAGCCATAGCAGAGATCACGGAGGGGTCACTCTCATCGCGAGGACTTTGTCTTCGCCGCGACCTTTCCGCTTTCCGGGCTTCCGGGATCTAATAGAGGGCCTGTTTTCATAATTAGAATAGGGTTTTGGGGGCCCATTGTACTGTTGTTTGTACTAAGGAACCGCCCAAAATATTATTGGTATTTCTTTCGGCCCCTACATTATCCGATTGGTGGCTTGGGGTTTTGGGTGCTTTCGGGCTTTAGGGCTTGGGGTGTTCGGCCTTTTGGGGTGGAGGGTGCGGAGTTGCAGGTCTCGGATTGCAAGCTTTCGACACTCTGAGATCTGGAAAAAGCATGGGGCCGCCTGAGTAAGAAAATTATGCTCCGGGATGCTGCAGGTGAACCGCAGTTTGCGACGGCCACCCATCAGGAATTCGTGATAATTCTGCCGGCTGAGGGCGCCGCTTGAGGCGGGGGAGGTGCTCAGGCTCTTGCAGGCCATGCAATATCTAAAGCCACGAACGCATAGGCACGAGGGACTGCACGCATGGGAGGCGGCAACAGGTTCATCAATGTGCCTACCCCGGACAGCGTTGCAACCAACGCGCCTTGTCCTTGGTCTCTTGGATGATAGCCTTCGCACATGAGGCTTGTGATAGGCCAAAGGCTCCCGGAACGCGGAATCCCAGTAGAAGTATACTGCTGATGTGAAACCGAGTAAGCTAAGACCAGCGCCAAGGATCGATGGGGTCATTACATGTGTATTGCAATTAAACACTTCCAACATATGCTACTGGCAAGGATTGAACCGAAGTCTTGTGCCCCCGTGCTGAATTTCATTCAAGGTCCTGTGCTTGTTACTGCTGCTCTCTGGCATGATGCTTAAGCCATCCAACTTCGACAAATCGCTGCCCTGGTGTCCCGAATGAAGGAAAAATGTAGAACAACCCAGCTCCAGTTGTGCACAGTGTTCTCCTGGCTCCCTTCCGCTTGTTTGCGCTTTTTTTGCTCGATGCAAACGTTCGATTTAGGCGTGCTGCTTTTCCCCTCGATATGAATCTCTCCCTGGTACACTTTGTATGCTTATGTCTCCGCAGGCTGATGATTCAAGTTCCTTCCGGGATGTCAGATTTTTTGCAATCTTGAGCCCTCTTCGGCCCTTGAAGTGTTCGCCTCCTCCGACATGAAGAATTGCATAAGACCACCGAGGCCACCCACGCCTCGGGTAGAAACGCAGTGCCGGATTCTTCAGGAAGGACTTTGGACTTTAGGTTTGGGATGCCATGTGCTCTCATCTTTGGGTGGTCACCTCGCCTACGGCTAGAAGCTTCAAGCGCTACGTCATCAGTTTGTGTTTCGGTGTCCGGGGTTTTCGGATGTAGGGCTGGCGGCTCATCGAGAGATGCCATGTAGCATCAAGACGATTCCGGGCGCACCTGCGGTTTGGAGCTCAGGGCTGACAGTTTCGGGTTGAGGGAAGCCGGATACCCAATCGCCCACGGCCCGTACTCGACGAAGCCTGTGAGGAAGGCTTAAGGCAGGAGCAGCAGCTCCCGAAACCGTTCCAGCAAATCTTAAACAAACTGCCGAAGCCAAACCATATCCTGCCACGACAAATTGAAACACCAAGACATAGAGCTCAAAGCGCTAACATAATGCTACTCCAAATACTCGGCACTTGCATGTATGTCGTGGGTCCCAGGGCTTTGGGCGCCTTACGGAGACGCCGGCGTGCGACTGCATCTATGCTGGCGAAACTCGTTGTGCTTAGGAAACCGCATAAACGCCTACAGCATGCTTGAACTGCACCACAACCCACGAACCACGGAAGAACTTAAACCATAAACCCGAAATCGCGAACACCTTAAGCCCACAATTCGTTCTCAGGAATTCCATTAGCCACTGACTTCGTTGTGGGTCTTCAGTGTGCTACCCACTCGACGTGGGGTCACAACTTATGAAAATGTATGCTTGTATGCTCTCAGAGCATGGCCCACGAGCTTGCCAATCTCCTGCGCAATGAATGCTGACGAATACACCTCAACTGTAAGCCCCGATCTTCCAACTTCGAACCGCAACGAAACCCGCACACAGCCCCGACTCAGAAAGAGATCCCAAACTTACTGCGCAGCTGAAACACCACACCTCATGGGCAGACCTCCGCACTTCAGACCCACATGCGAATCAAGAGTCGTGAGCCTTCACTAACAGCCTTCACTTTACATGTGACTCCCAGAATCACGATGAAACAGTAACCATCTTAATCATAATCTTCACCATCGCCAAACTAGCAGAATCAGTTTGAGCATCATTTCGTCGTCATCTTTCGATCGAAAACGTCCGCGAAATACATGCTCCTACAACATGAGCATCAAAAATCTATCGACATCATGGGCGCAACATCGGCTAACCAGGATCTGAAATTTAGGGAACATCTTCAAAAAATCCTCTACATCCCCTGGAACGTTTGTGAACATATGTAAATACACACATATATATATATATACATAGATGTACAGTTGTAAATGTATAGAGGTGTGAATATACAGTTAGATAAATAAATAAATAAATATATATATATATATATATATAAATAAGTATATATATATATATATGTATAACTACGTAAATTATGGTACATGCACCCCCCCCCATGAAGGTCACCGCATCGCCCCTCAGCGTCGTCGGCATCACCATCATCAACGCTGCTGGAGCCCAGTGGGTACATGTTCATCTCCATGTTCGCCAACATTGCCCTGGACATTCTCGTAATCATATCGTCGATGTCTTGACATGAAGAACTCGAAATTCACCAAGATCATCAACATCGTCCTCCTTATTTCATATAGCCGCTATCAACCCCACATCAGTCTGTTGCTCCTTCACGCCGTCCGAAAGCATCCCGGCCCGATCGTTCGACTCGTCAAGAGACCTCAGTGGGAGAACGACGGAACGCTTGAATGCTCCAGATTCTGCAGGGGTTTACAACACTGAATACAACAACCACGGAGCTTGGGGTTTGAGGTCTAATGTGCCATGTTCAGAAACCATATTATATCAGAGCTTAGGCTTACCGTTCGTTGTCAACACTGCAACCTCCAAACTAGTAATGCCCCTGAGGACGCAGGTGGCCGCCGGTGTGAACAGTCGGGAAGGTCTGTCCGCATTTTTCTCTGCATGCTGTGCTCGCGAGTGCCGCATCAGCTTCAGCAGAATGCACGACCTGGCACATGTTGCAAAACGCTGGGAGATTCATCTCCGTCCAATGTCACCGGGTAAACACTTCGGTCTTGTGAATGCAGAACACGGAAGCAAAACGCCGCTTCCTACACTCATTGCTCTTTTTGCTACACACATTGCTACTATCGGGCCAGCGTGACTTGAATTCGGGCGTGACTCCTGAGAGCGTTGGGTGGTTCAGTTTCGAATGGGGAACTGATGGGGCGTTTCCATGTCTCCGCCGATTCAGCAATATATGACCTGGCAATGATAGCAACATCTCCGGCCACCAACATGCTGCTCAACGTATGAAACGAGAAGACCGTGTGATAACTCACAAATCTAACACACTGGCTGGACGTTTAAGCTCCATGGGCAATTGCGGGTTACGGCTCAGCATGTAAAGGGCTTGTGTTTGCGAATCGTCGTCGCCATTGTGAGGCTGTGAAGCATACGGCAGAAGGGCTTGAAAAGAATGCGTTCGGGTGCAAACTTAGAAACTTCTATTCATAGTCCTTGTT